TTGTCCATTTGCGCCAAAACGATCAGTGAAAATGTTGTTTTTATAAAGTGACCGCAAAAATTGCCCGTTTTTTCACAATTCGCAGAGAACTAAACAAAATAGATAAAAATGTGTTTTTGATCCCAAATTACTCTTCGTAAAAAATTAGGATGAGCATAGCTTTCAGTTTTTTGAAAATTTTCAAAAATCACCCCTATTTAGGGGTTGAAAAGACGCCCAAAATCAAGAATTGAATATTACCAATAAATATAAAAAGTACAGTAAAACTCAGTTATAGCGAGCATTCACGGGAACGCAAAATTTGCTCGTTATACGTGAGTGCTCGTTATAGACGTCACCGTCGCCAACTATGCTGAAAATTATTGGACACATAATTATAGCTGCATTGCACTTGTATTTTTATTTTCAAACATATAATATTATTTATCTACATAACATAGATAAGTATAACTGTAGGTAAGTTACATTACATAGCATTTATTATTAACGAAAAAATTCTGTAATATTTTTCTGCACCACTCTTTTGCTTAATATCTCCTGACTGATATTTCTTTGCAACCGATCAGCGGCATTTAAGAACTGCTCGTTTTCCGGATATTTGAATTCGACGTATGATACTATGGTTTTTAACGCAGAGATGGCTTCATGTGTCGAAGGAACTGTAACCTCATCGCTTCCCGTCTCTTCTTCATCACTTTCTTCATCTATTGATGGGTTAATCGCTAATTGTGTGATTTGAATTTCATTTGGGAATTCAGCCACTTCGAGATTTTCGTCTACCATGTCGTACTGAACTAAGTCAAAGACGTCAAAATCGGATATGTTGTTATTTCTACTAGTCATAACAAGTTTTTGCGTTCATTTGATGTCATGTGCGTAAAAACTGGTTCTACGATAACTCGTTATAGCCGAGATCACTGTTGCGCGGGACCAAAATCAAAGCTCGTAATAGCCAAGCCCTCGTTATATACGAGTTCGTTATAGCCGAACAAAAATACACGCGGTTACATAGGGAATTCGGAAGGCACATTTCAATTTGCTCATTATAACCAAGTGCTCGTTATATCCCCTGCTCGTTATAAGCGAGTTCAACTGTATTAGCATGTGAATTTTTCTATCGAATGATTCTTGATACAAAGAAAGATTTATTCTCATGACTGAAATAAGCATGTTGAATTAGAAAATCCAACTTTAAGCGCGCTCAAGGGGTGGAATTATCCTCAAAAATAGTGAATATCAGAAATAATAATTGTAAAAATTCCAAAAAAAAATATATTAACCCGATAGAATAATTCACATGCAAATAGTCTTTATATCAATTGGTAATATTCAAATTCTTCATTTTTGGCATTTTTTCAACCCCTAAGTCAGTCATTTCAGTTTTTTACGACAAGTAATTTGCGACCAAAAAAACCTGTTTTTATGTATTTGTTTTAATTCTTCTGGAATTGTGAAAAAACAGGCGAAAATCACAGGTTTTTTGCAGTCACTCTTTAGTTTTGCCTAGCCATGAAATAGCCAATAATCACTATTATAACATTACACAGTGTTNATGTGTCGAAGGAACTGTAACCTCATCGCTTCCCGTCTCTTCTTCATCACTTTCTTCATCTATTGATGGGTTAATCGCTAATTGTGTGATTTGAATTTCATTTGGGAATTCAGCCACTTCGAGATTTTCGTCTACCATGTCGTACTGAACTAAGTCAAAGACGTCAAAATCGGATATGTTGTTATTTCTACTAGTCATAACAATTTTTTGCGTTCATTTGATGTCATGTGCGTATAAACTGGTTCTACGATAACTCGTTATAGCCGAGATCACTGTTGCGCGGGACCAAAATCAAAGCTCGTAATAGCCAAGCCCTCGTTATATACGAGTTCGTTATAGCCGAACAAAAATACACGCGGTTACATAGGGAATTCGGAAGGCACATTTCAATTTGCTCATTATAACCAAGTGCTCGTTATATCCCCTGCTCGTTATAAGCGAGTTCAACTGTATTAGCATGTGAATTTTTCTATCGAATGATTCTTGATACAAAGAAAGATTTATTCTCATGACTGAAATAAGCATGTTGAATTAGAAAATCCACCTTTAAGCGCGCTCAGGGGGTGGAATTATCCTCAAAAATAGAGAATATCAGAAATAATAATTGTAAAAATTCAAAAAAAAATATATTAAGATAATTCACCCGATAGAATAATTCACATGCAAATAGTCTTTATATCAATTGGTAATATTCAAATTCTTCATTTTTGGCATTTTTTGAACCCCTAAGTCAGTCATTTCAGTTTTTTACGACAAGTAATTTGCGACCAAAAAAAAGCTGTTTTTGTATTTGTTTTAATTCTTCTGGAATTGTGAAAAAACAGACAAAAATCGCAGGTGTTTTGCGGCCACTCTTTAGTTTTGCCTAGCCATGAAATAACCAATAATCACTATTATAACACATTACGCAGTGTTTTGAAAACTCTTTATTTTTGTTATCAGAACGTTCGTTCTCGAATTGACCTCGAATATTTCCAGTTAGGCAAAACTAAATTTATAAAAACAACTCTCCGATGGATTCTTTTGGGTGCAAAGAGCTGTTTATTAAAATATTCTCTCTTTTCAGTGTGGTAGAAAAATATCCAATATAGTTTTAATTTGTTAGTGTAAAACATTTTTTTGTTTTGCAGCTAACATGCAGGCGCTGATCGCTATAAAAAATAGTTACCCCGAGGTCCCGCCTATATTTTCGCTTTGCCTCAACTATAATGGCATTTACCACTCCGGCAACTGCGATGATATAAGAGTAAGTTCAGAATTGCTAAATGTTGAAGTGTTTGACCCATAAATACTGATCAAAATATGTATAATAAATATAATATGGATATAAACCAGCAATCGCTTATTTAAATTAACTATTTTGCAGCTTTTATTGTAATGTTTTGTAGGATTTGGAAAGGATCCTAAACGTCGAGTGGGAACACGGAGAGGCAAGTTCGTCGTGGTTACTCTCGGCACAAATATACCATTTGTGTTGCTATTTAGACGTTTATTTGGAATCGTTGGATCCCAAAGCGTTTCCGCAGAACGTCATGTTCTTGAAAAATATTTGGTAAGTACTTGTTAAGGTCCAAGAGTAAATTGTATATTCCAGGTTCGTACTTTATTTCCACTCTCAACACGATGAAAAATAGACTTTATGGCGGGATTTTGAATATAAAAACGAAGTGCAGAAAAAAAGGTACATTTTTATGGAAAAGATGATTTTAGATTGGCATTCAGGGAATAGGTACTATTAAACCTAAAAAAACTGCCTCAATTAATGTTACACAAAGTACATTCTGTGAAAAAAGTATCCGGCATTTTTTAATTTAAAAATTCTTCATAAAGTGGGTTCTGTGATTTTTATTATGGACAAAGTTATTGAACAAAGAGTTTGCCAACCAAGGGAATTTCTTGTGCTAAATTGTAGTAGCACTCAAACATGGTTGAGAAGTGGTTGATGATTTGCCACGATCTAGGACTCCCAATGCCTTCCTTTCAGCTCTCTCTTCGATTGGGGAAACAAAAAAAAGTCGCACGGAGCCAAGTCGGGACTGTAAGGGGGCTGGGGAACCACCGGGGTGTTGCTCCGGGCCAGAAACTTGGTAACATTGAAGGCCGTGTGGCTGGGGGCATTTGAGCACCTCCAGGTAAAAGGCTGAGTTGACAGTTTCCCCCTGCGGTACAAACTCAAAATGGACGATTCCTCGAACGTCAAGAAAAAACGGTGAGCGTCGTTTTGATGCGAGACTTGCTCATTCGCGCTTTCTTGGGGCGGGCAGATGATTTTGTGTGCCACTCGTTGCTCTGCCTTTTCGATTCCGGGTTGCCTTTTCGATTCTAGGTCGTACTCGAACATCCAGGATTCCTTTCTGGTTACGATAGAGTTAAGAAAATCCGGCTCATTTTGAATCAAATCCAACAATTCTTGACAGCGCGAAACTTGAAGTTCATTCTAGTCTTCCGTCAACACTTTCGGCACAAGCTTCGCGCAGACCTTGCGCATTTGCAGATCCTCAGTCACTATCCGATGTACCGCAAATGTGGACATATTTAGGGTGTCAGCAATTTGCTGGATGCTCAATCGACGGTTGGAACACAAAACTTCGCATACACGTTTCACTTTTTCGTCAGTTCTGGCCGTTGTTTGGCGGTCAGAACAGAGTTCGTCGGCGATATCCTTCCGGCCCTCCTTTAACACCTTGTGCCATCTCCCGGACTGTGACCTAGAAATGTAGTCGTCCTCGAAGACCCCTTGAAGCATTTGGAATGTTTCGGTTGTATTCTTTCCCAACCGCACACAAAACTTAATGGCGTATCGCTGTTCAAGCAAACGCTCCATCGCGCTGTGTCGAAAAACACAGTTTACGCGGAGGCATGTCTTTCCACTCAGACTGCTCGGAGCAAACCGGCAACTGCCGACTGGCTGCATTGGAAGGACATAGCCCCCACCACATTTCACAACCCGTTTTACCCCGCTGCGATGGATAGTCGCGTCACAATAAAATCATGCGCATTACTTTCATAATGGACTCTGTATGAAGTAAATATATCTCACGAATCAGTTCCCATCATTTTAATCGACATTTTGGGTATGAAATGCTTTGTGACACAACTGGTTCCAAAAGAGCTGAAGACATGCTTGAACGAGCTAATTCGGACTCTACATTCATGCAAAGCATCATAATGGATGACGAGACAGGGGTTTACGAGTTTGGAATGCAAATGAGCCAACAAGCTTCGGAATGGTGAGAAACCAAAATCGTGGAATACACTGTAGGTGGACTAACAAAATTAACAGCTGTAAACATATTACTTGACAGATCGTGCTCACACTATGCGACAGAGTAGAGTACAGTGCTGCCAACTTTCTATCGAAAAAGAAATTTGAATTCATTTTACGCAGAATTTTTAAATGACAAATTCGGGATACTTTTTGACAGAATGTATATATCTTGGCACGTGCCCTGAATCGGAACCTGGTTTTTCATGCAGTACAATTTACTTTTGAATTATAGTAATTATATTAGTTTATATAAAAAATTTTTGTTATTTTATTTTCAGTGGGAGGAACAGGAAACGGCCATTTAAGTTCAGGAAAGTAGGAACGGGACTTTTCTCCCAATATTGAAAATTTTGTTATGTCACCATAATAAAATTTTAAGTTTCAGAGTTAGTAGAATAAAAGTTATTTTTATTTTGTAATTTCATGTTTTATTACTTCAAAAATCGAGGCGAGCTTATGAATATGATTTTAAAACAATAATTTAAAAAGTTCCACTAAGACTAAATATAACGGTTACTTACAAGTATCGAAAATCACAGTGTTACAATCCAAAGTCTTCAAATTCAGAATAACTGCTTGGAAAGTGTTACAGAACTCTGGAATGGAAATCAGCCGGACTTTTTGACCATTTTCACCTAAAAAACGAAATTGTTANTCTGGAGCAGTTAGACCACTTATAGTTTTACATTATGTTGTGTTAAATGACGATTTACGATAGATTTTACGATTTTATTTTGAATAAAATACAGTATATGTACTAAATAGAAACTGAAAGAAACATGAACAATCTTGGTACTATTACCAGTACCTCTTTCCATAAAAATATTTGTCACAATCGGTATAAGCTCGCCCGCAAAAATTCGCCTTACCAATTGCAATAACCGAGTCAATAAGCGCACGGTTGCGAATATATACGGTTTGAGCAGCCTGATCCAATTTAACTATTCATGCGAATTTATCCGTCTGGAGCAGTTTGAGCCCTATAAATTTTTAGCGAATATATACGTCTGGAGCAGTGAAAGGGTTAAAGATCAAGCTGAATTACAGTCAACTTACAAAATCAGTGCCTACTAGCACTTTGTTGAGTGTTGTAATATGGGTGGCAAGATAATGTAGACATTTAATAGTATATTACGTAATAAGTGTTGTAAAAAGCATATTACGCACAAATGGAAAAGTTACGCACGACGCCCCGTAGCGGCGAGTGCGTAATTCTATGAGTGCGTAATTGCATTACACCACGTATTATGTACTATACTTTACCTACGACCACTACTGTAAATACTTAAAAACACACCGTCTGCTATCAATGTAAGATTTCTATTTTACGTACGGTAAAGAAATCGCACAGCTTGGTAAAAAAATCGTACAGTTTTCCTAGCAACCGCCTAGCAACGGTCAATACAAACAGTATTGACCATTGCTAGGCGGTTGCTAGGAAAACTGTGCGATTTTTTTACCGTACGTAATAGGAATGTTACATTGATCGCAGACGGTGTGTTTTTAAATATTTACAGTAGTGGTCGTAGGTAAAAAAATATTTTTTGTACCCTAACCGCTCATTTAATCAAAATTCTACAAAAAGTCCCAAAAACTTCCAAATGGTATCACCTATCAGATTAAAAAATAGTTATTATTGCCCGAAAGAGGAAAAAGTTATGAACAGATATCACCACACATCAATTTTATAGGAGTTGTAAGTTTTAAAAAACACTAACATCAAAATGTGTAGATCGAAAGCAAAGGTTATTTACAAAATTCAAAAAGTTTTCACTAACTTTGAGGCCATCTAGTGGCCAAACTAAGCGATTTCGGATATAGGTGAATTAGCCTAAATCAGCCTATTTTGAGTTCACGAATCTATGGTCTTCTGTTGTATTCTGGGACAACCTGTACACAGAGTGATCCAGATTTTAATAGACAATCTTCGGGAAAGTGCTAAACAACAAAAATTAACATCACTACTCTATGAACATAGGCGCAG